GGAGTTTGAAGCCGTCCGTGAGAAAAGCAGAGTTTGCTGCCGGTCCCAAAATGTCTAGGTTTGGGAAACTGGGCCAAAAAAGCAGGGCAGTGATTTCACTTTGAGAGAGACAATAATGCCAGACCATAATTAAAGGAGACATTTTCCCCCTTTCTTTACAAAACTTCCCCATCCCTGTGTGTGACTCTCTCGGTTCCCACCTTTTCCAGACCCCTCCTTCCCCCCCGCCCCCTTTGCCGGTTGCTTTCCCAGGTGGGGATGATGTTTCTGCTGGATGGATTCTTCTTAAACACACACCTGGACGTATATATATATAGACATATAGACAGACCTATATATTGGGCTTTTTTTTTCAGGCACGAAGCCACACTGTCAGATCTTGCACCATGAAAACATACGGATGGTTCCAGTGACAGACTTCAAAGCCTGGCAAGGTAAGGAAGGGCAGGAGGATGATGGCCCTGCTGTTTATGAACACGCCTTCCCCCCCAAATAGAAGCTCGGCTGGATGGGGTGACAGGGTGGGGGATTCGGGGGGGTCCAGAAAGCAACGGATTCTCCCCATCTATTATAACGAGTACACAATGAATTATCTCTTGTACACTTTATGGGGGGGTTGGGGTGGTCCAGAAAGCAACGGATTCTCCCCGTCTGTTATAACGAGTACACAATGAATTATCTCTTTTGCATTTTGCATCTTTTAGCCATATGATACTGGTGGCACACTTTTTTAAAACTAGTCATTTCGACCACTCTAGGCTGCTTATGCATTTTGCATATTTTAGCCAGATGATAGGTTTTATGAACTGGTGGCACACTTTTTTTAAAAAATTGCATTTTGCATACTTTAGCCATATAATAGGTTTTAGGAGCTGGTCACCTGACTGTAATATATAAATCATTCATTCATTCAAAGCTCATGGGGATTTGGCAAGCAGAGAGACATTGGGACGAGAGATTCTGAGGGATGCCTAGCCCCTTGCCCCTAAAAAATGACGCCCAGAGAGACACAGCTTCAGGGTGAGGGATGGGAACCTCCATCCCTGGGTATTTATCACCACCTCCCCTTCATCCTTACAAAAGTGTTCAGGGTGAGTGTTCCATTCCTGTGGCACATTTGTTACCTCCCAGGGTGTTCCGGAGTCTTTCATTGGGTTCTGCCATCGTCCCAAACAGGTCAGTTTAGCTCGGTGCTGTTCTTTCCCGCGGACGCTTCAACAGACTCCCACCATTTGCAGTTGTCGATGCATGTTGAGAACATTCCTGTTATTGCGTGTCTTTTCACAAAACCTCTCATTTTACAGGCGTGGGAAAGGTTGTGCCATGTGTTGGAGCAAGCCAGTATGTGGATATACCTATGTTTAAAATCATTGTACACCGTTTCTAAATCCGTAGACCTGTGGGGTCTGTGAATGTATGAATAACATTAACCACCAAGTCGGAGCATCTACGGGGTCAAATCGTTCTGCTCGTGTCTTTCCTTTTGCAGCCGGACCAAAGGTTTTCCAGTATATTCTAAAGGTGTTGGTCCAGAGCGCCCAGCTGTTTTATACGATGTTGAAGATAGATCAACCAGGCTATGTCCTCCTGCAGGTATATCTGTTCCCTCCGAGTTCAATTTAAAACTTAGCACAGTTTTCGCTCTTAAACCAGCAAAGGGCTGGGGCTCGGAAGGGCTGGGCTTTAGCGCCACTGAGCCGTAAAGCTCCCTTCCGCCTCTTTCAGCCCAGCCCTTCTTTGCAAATGGTTGTGAAAATCAAGTGGGAAGAAGGGCCACATGTTGTGGGCGCCTTTGAAGTAAGTGCCTGGGAAACATTCTTTAAATCCCAGGACCCTTGACCAGCCACAACAACCCCCAAGGATGCACCTTGTTGGGATGTGGGGGATTAGGACCTTCTGGTTCCTGGTTTTCGATGTCTCATAAACAAACCCTAACAATGGGTGGGTGTGGTTTGTCCATCCCCGTGACCCGTTTCGTAGCAGAAGTGCTCAGGTGGGGCAGAAAATGACTGCCTTGTCTTTACCTTTCGTTGAATGACCAGAATCCCCCAGGCCTGCCCAGCATAGCCATCGCCTGGCTGATCTGTCTTGTGCGGAACAGCAAATTCATTATTGACTGGCACAACTACGGCTATACCATCATGAGCCTGACCCATGGAAAGGGACACCCGATTGTCCGGATTGCTAAATGGTGGGTACAAGGGCTTTTCGCCCAACTGGCCAACACATTGTGGGTGGGTGTGGGCGTGTCTGTTTTGGCTTCCTTGCTTTTGTTTGGATTGTGCAAAATGACCTGTTCGTTTCTCTGTCCCTGAGCGATTCTGTGTGGTGGTTTTAAAAAGCAGTATGTTGGACGTGGTGGTGCTGTGGGTTAAACTGCAGAAGCCTCTGTGCTGCAAAGTCAGAAGACCAAGCAGTTGTAAGATCGAATCCAGGTGAGGGAGTGAGCTCTCATTGCTTGTCCCAGCTCCTGCCAACCTAGCCGTTCGAAAGCATGTAAATGCAAGTAGATAAACAGGTACCACCACAGTGGGAAGGTAACGACATTCCGTGTCTAGTCGCGCTGGCCACATGACCACGGAAACTGTCTATGGACAAACGCTAGCTCTATGGGTTGGAAACGGAGATGAGCACCGCGCCCTAGAGTCGGACATGACTGGACTCAATGTCAAGGGGAAGCTTTACCTTTATGTTGGATCCAGGAACAACATTAACAAGACAAAAAAAGCATCATGAAAGAAGAGAAAATTTACAAAGAGGCCCAAGTCCAGTTTGAGGGTGCTGTTTCAGGTTTTAATTTATTCTCAGCTTAGTTGTGATTAAGCACAGTTCTCTCGTGTAGTTAAAACATTTCCTTGTACTTATAGAATACTGGGAGGCAGTGGAAGACAGGAGGGCCTGGCGTGCTCTGGTCCATGTGGTCACAAGGAGTCAGACACAACTTAACAACTAAACAACAACAACATAGAATACTGGCGGGATGGCCCACAACTTATGATTCTGTCTTTTAACAAAATCTTGATTCAGATACTGAATTTCTGATTTATAATTCTTTAGCATTATTATCAGCTCCCAATATTTTTAACCCACTTCTTATGGCCAAGACTATAAAAAGATGAGTAACACACAAGAAGATACAGGAAGATTAGGTAGCTATATGACTGTGAGGGGGGATAAAGAAAAAAAGAACAGGCCGTAATGTTTAAAGGTATGTGATTTTTCTATTGTTTTCACTTTCATTTTTGAAAGGAGTGACCGGTATGAATCCGACTGTACACAAACATTTGAGTGAGGTTAAATGGACTCAGTTTCCAGTAAGTGACGGAAGCTCCATTTGTTTCAGGTATGAAGAATTCTTTGGCCGTCTGGCGAATGATAGTATTTGTGTGACTAATGCGATGAAGGAGGATCTTCAGGCACAGTGTAACATCAGGTAAACCAGTGGATTAAAACAGGCTCGGGTGGAAATCCAGGGGCCTTTGTGCTTCAGATGCAAACCTACCTAAGACCCTGTAACTACTCTGGATGGCCCTACTGAGCCAACCATGCAGGTTGGGGGACCAAAAATGCTCTTCAGCTGGCGTACTGTTCTACTAAGACTAGCTCTGTATAATGTGATTATTTAGAAAAACAAACAAAAAAAAACATGTAAGCTAGATACGGTCTGCGTATCTGCGATTTTCAGAATCCTGACCCTCGGCCTATGTGGACTGGGGCTTCTGTGGAACATCTAGAAGGGCAAAAGTTGAGAGTTCCTGAGCGAGAGATTTCCTATCTTTATATGTGTCGCTCTTTTGACAGAGATGTGCTTTCCAAGGACGAAGCAGTTCCTTCTTGCCAGTGATTTTATTTTACCTTTGTTTCGAAGCCCTGTCCCATTTCTGTTGCAGAGCCGTCACCCTCTACGACAAGCCGGCTTCTTTCTTCAAGGAAACAGCCCTGAGTGATCAGCATGCGCTGTTCGTGAGACTCGCCAAAGACCATCCTCCGTTCAAAGCCCCACTTGGGTAAGTGAAAACATGCTTCTTATTGGACCGGCATTTGCTGGCATTTAGAACTGAAAACGTTTGCTGAGTATTCATTAGAAATGAATCCTTTTCGTGAAACGCCGTGTATAGTGTTCAATATTTCTGCGTTTTTCAGCAGGCACGGGTGTGTGTGTGTGTGTGTCTGTTCATCTTCGAACTAATCCCCCATGGATACCACGGTCCTGCTGCACAGTATATTCCCTGGACCGGCATTTGCTGGCATTTAGAACTGAAAACGTTTGCTGAGTATTCATTAGAAATGAATCCTTTTCGTGAAACGCCGTGTATAGTGTTCAATATTTCTGCGTTTTTCAGCAGGCACGGGTGTGTGTGTGTGTGTGTCTGTTCATCTTCGAACTAATCCCCCATGGATACCACGGTCCTGCTGCACAGTATATTCCCTTCCTCCTAAGGTGTGTGTGTGTGTGTGGGGGGGGAATACCACGGTCCTGATGCACAGTATATTCCCCTCCTCCTAACTTGATTTCCTCCAATGAAAAGGTTATGTACTTTCCCTGTTTTATTATCTTATCTTAGGAACCATACTTTTTGGTCCAGTTGCGTTTTCCTGTGAGCCTTACTTTCTTGAAAGAGGACCTTCATGTTTCTGTATCCTTTCAGAACAGAGCCCTCCCTCCTGGATGATCATGAGAAATCTGCCTTCACCCAGCTTGACGTCAGAACGGGAAACGTGACGCAGCGCCCGGGCCGACCGGCTCTCCTCATCAGCAGCACTAGCTGGACAGGTCGGGACTGCAAATCCGTGTTTTATTTTTCCACACAGTCTCTTTGACTTGCTTGGTGCGTTAAGGCATCTGTGTTGGCTTAACCCTGAACAACTTTGCAACGTCTGATCAAAGGAACTTGTCTTGCAACTTCCTGGACTCTGTCCGGATGGCCATGATGATGCCTGGCCTCCCAGCAGGAGTGAAAAAATCTAAAAATGGTGTCTGCCTGGATTTCAGAAGCAGGCAGGTTGCTTGTGGGCCTTGAGGACCACGGAGAGCTCCTTCAAACCTGCCCCCCCCCCAATAAACTGGCAATGTTTCAAAGTTACGACATTGCCTAGTTTTCCACTTGGGATTGATCCATCCTTTGAAAATGGAAAAGCACACCTGATCATCATCAGTCCTTTCCAGTGAAACCAGATCTGCATTGTGAGATCTCGATTCTCATTTTTAATTTTTTTTCCTTTCTTTTTGTTTAAGAGGATGAAGATTTTTCCATCTTGCTCAAAGCTTTAGAAGGTAGGTGATCAAGGACATTTTTCTGCATTTCTTAGTGAAATGAACCATTTGGCCATCCCATTCTGTGGTGTATCCTTACTCCCGTTTGTTGCCATGGATTAGAAGGGATGAGAGGAGTCGGCCACTGGAAGTCCCTTGTCTGCCCTGCAGGCCAAAAGAACAGCAGCAGGAATTTCTCCCTTCTGGGGCCCCGTATATACTGTTGGCTATTAAGAACCCTCCAAGAAAAGAGGTGTGTGGGTACACTTCTCCTTTGAAGCATGTGGTAAACAGAACCTGTGTACCTGCAAAGCATGGCAAGTCTCCAGCCTCCAAGGCGGTTTCCTCTGGGCCTGCTCACCAAAGGCAAAAAGTTGACTTTGGGCGCCAGACAAATGAGAGAGGGTAACAATGACAGGCCCTTTTAGACTGTGACAAGTCGCTTTTTTAGCCACAGACCGGGACCCCTAACCGCTGCGTTTCCAGTGGGGGAAGGATGCTGTTCAAGGCATTTTCCACCAAGGAAGGGGCCTTCAAGTGGGGAAAGAGCCTGCCCCATTTGTCACACCAGCAGTAACCTTCTGGTTACCTTGCCACAGAACGTCTTTCCCCATCTATGGCATGGAACCATTTGTACAAATTATCCCCTGGTTTGCATTATTGTCTTGTGGGCCCCCAGGTACATGGTTGAGCTGCTTGGCAGCCTGCTCTGGGTGTGATTTCTTCCCAGTCCAGTTTTCCTGCTTTGCTCTGGCTGAGGTTTTGAAATCCTGAACTTAGCCTAGAACAGAAAGCTGTCTTTCATAAGCCTGCACCTTTTTTTTCCAAATAAGGTTTCCACAGAGAGTGTTTGTAACGGTTGGTTTTTTAAAATTATTCCAACAGAATACGAGCAGTATCTCCGTGAAGGAGCAAAGCTTCCCCCCTTAGTGTGTGTGATAACAGGTAGGTGCTTTTAACCCTTACGGATTTTATCAAGCTCCTCTCCCATTGTACAACAAAAGCTAAACAGAAATACATTTTTTTAAAAAAATGATGATGTTAGGTCACCTTAAAGACTAAATATTTATTTAGGTCTGAGCCTGTATCACTATCCAAATCAGGGTGGACAAAAATCAGTGATTTGTTTTCAAAACAAAACAAATTTAATTTAAAACAAAACAGATTTAATTGCTTTATAAAAAAATGATGATGTTAGGTCACCTTAAAGACTAAATATTTATTTAGGTCTGAGCCTGTATCACTATCCAAATCAGGGTGGACAAAAATCAGTGATTTGTTTTCAAAACAAAACAAATTTAATTTAAAACAAAACAAATTTGATTTAATTGCTTTTAAAAAACATTTTTAAAATTTAAATCGTCAAAATCCAGTTTTTAACCTTTCAGTTGTGCTTTAAGTCATGCTTTGATTGAAGTCAAATCCGATCTGATCCAAATACTTATGTTCTTGGACTTCAGCTCCCAGAAACTCTGGCCAGCAGAGGTGGTGGTGAAGGCTTCTGGGAGTTGCGGTCCAAAAACACCTGGATGTCCCAAGGTTGGGAACCACTGATATAAGTAGCTATTTTCAAGCCTTGTTCGAGGCAAACAAAGGACCAAGACTCTGATGCTGACTTGTACGTACAGTATCTCCTGTGGCTTGGCAGTAGCTCATTGTGTTACGTTTTCCCATTTCTTGAAAGGCAAAGGGCCTCTGAAGGGCTATTATAACAAGCTGATGGCGACTCTGCACTTCGAGCATATCCAGATCTGCACTCCCTGGCTGGAAGCAGAGGACTACCCCCTTCTCCTCGGTGAGAGACACCTTCCGGGTGATACTGACCTCTCAGTACATTCAAGAGGGGGTTGTGGGAGCAGATGCCGTCTACTTCTGTAATATCTGGTTCTTTATAGGGCCTGTCTTCAGTTAGACATCTCAGCGCCTCTGTGCAGTAGAGGACAGGATCCTGTCCTAGTCTTGCCTCTGCTTCCTGCACATAACTTTTTCACCACGGGTGGGAAGGCGAGTCTGCCGTACGTTCAGCAGCTAACAACAGGTACGAAGAACCCCCTTTGAAAACTGAACCTGTGGCTTAATGTACCCTCCCAGGCTCGGCCGATTTAGGTGTGTGCCTCCATAAATCCTCCAGCGGCTTGGATCTGCCGATGAAAGTGGTGGACATGTTTGGCTGCTGCTTGCCTGTGTGTGCCGTGCACTTCCAGTGGTGAGTGCTTGTGTCAGGGTTTCAGATGTTTAAAAGAAGTGGGTCATGTATGGGGTAATGCAGGGATGGGGAACAGTGGCCTGATCCTCCTTCTCCTCCTTTCCTTTAATTCTAAAAACATCCCTTCTGTTTATCTAGAGAGATCCCAAACTATAAAGAAATCAATATATTATTGTTGAACGGCCAGGTTTATTCTAGCACTGATAGGCCATCAGTCATGGGCGATGGATGGCTCAGTGGTTGAGGTCTCTGGCTGCGGGGCAGAAATGGGCAATTGATTCCCCATGGTGCCTCCTTTAAGGTCCCTTCCAGCCCTTCCCTTCTGAGATGATGATGATTCACTCTTAGAATGGCCACTTCTGCTGATTGGGGAGCAGTCTGTTCTTTGGTGCTTTTTCTAAACTTATGAGTCCAGCCTCATAAGTTCTCTGAGCAGAAAAAGGGTTCATTTTTCTGTCCTTGTTCTCTGCTATGCCACGCTAGCTTTCTAGTGATGCTGTAAGTGCAGAAAGGAGTTCACAGGGCCTGATTTCCAGAATGAAAACAGTAGAGCATCGTATTGTCAAGACAAGCAGTAAAAGATAGAAGTCATGTTCTGCTAGGTGTAATGGGGGCTAGCAACATAGACAGCTTTAGAAAGTAGACGTATATATCAGGCGGGGTCTGATCGCCAGCCACAGATCAGTTTAGAGGTTGTGTTCATGGCTGGTGGTCGCTCTTAACAGCCTTCTGCCTGGCTTAGCAAAACGTTCCCGGCGAGGGACATCTTGCTAGACAGACAATCATATTCACCCGTCCCTCAAACGCTAGATTAAGAAGGGCGGTGAGCGGAGAAAGGAATCCACGACTTAATGGGTTGGGTGAACTGATGGCCTCTTCTCCAGCACACGAAGGTGAGAAACGTTTGGTGTCGGTTCCTTTCTCCACAGTTTACATGAACTGGTGAAGCACGGAGTCAACGGTTTGATATTCAAGGACTCGAGAGAACTCGCCGAGCAGCTGAAGGTAATGAAGTGAATGGAAAGGCACGAGGGTGGTGGTACAAGTCCTGTATGATGGATGAATTAGTTTAGGAATGTCGGAGAACTTCTTAAGCCAGGAAGGACTCCAAAATACATATTACTGGGTATATTTTCCAGGGGTAAGCTTTGTGGACCCCCGTGGGAGTGACACCTGGCCGAGAGGATGTCTAGGGTTTGTTTGGGAGGCTTAGGAGTGTCAGCTAGAGAGTTCTGGGTTATAGATGAGCGGACACAACGTCTCTGGTGGGACTGCAGCAGTTTAAGTTGAAGGGAGGAAAGAATGTGACATTATTTTAAAAAGACAGCTTAGTAAATATGGAAAATTATCTTGCTGGGAGACATTTCTGAGGTCGCCTTTTGCAGGGACACAAGCATGGGAGGAAAGAATGTGACATTATTTTAAAAAACAGCTTAGTAAATATGGAAAACTATCTTGCTGGGAGACATTTCTAAGGTCGCCTTTTGCAGGGACACAAGCATTCTGTATGCAGAGAGTTGAGGGATTCAGACATTTGATCTCTGCAAGTTATATTTTGCTCCCTAAAACCTATTGCTAGGCCCACCTAGGGTCAACCCATTGATTCAGTGATATTTACCATAGTGCTGGCTCACCCTTCCACTGTCAATTTAGATATTTGCCCACCCAGTTTAACCAAATATTTCCATAATCATAAGAATTCTGTGCTTATACTTTTGTACTCCTCTGGGTTCTTGTTTCACAACTGTTATTTACTGATAGGTTCACAACTGCTCTCTTGCCATGCTACACGGTGTGAATGTGCTCATGTGAAGTTTGGCATTGGAGACCACAGCAGTTCATCACATTTTTTCTCATAAATGTGAATTAAACAACGTAAGGCATGTTCTATCAGCTGGGTTTCAGCAGTTGCTAGTACAGGAAGTAGAATTCTTTTTAAGTACATTATTTCAATCACTCATTTGTTGGGCTAATCTGTTCTCTCTCTCTCTCTCCCTCTCTCGTTTTCTTTCTACATTTCACTGGGCAGATGCTTTTTTGGGAATTCCCTAGCGTGGAAAGCAAGCTCCACTTATTCCGACAAAACCTTCGCTCCGCCAAGCAGCTGCGGTGGGAGGAAAGCTGGGAGCAGGCGGTCTTTCCTCTATTTAATGACGGTTTAACTGATAATCACAGAAGTTAATTTATAGGTCGCACATTCCCAAATACTGTAATACTGTGAAAGTGTTTGTAAATTAAAATACTTTTTCTTAAAAAACAACAACAACAAAAACCCCAGTAAAAATGGTTTTACATAATCTTCATCAAAGAGCCTCATGGTACACCCTCCAGCAAGGTAGCTGATGAAGAGGACGAGTGTTTCAGAAGATACATGTCGGAATATATGGGAATGTGACCCACACTTTCAGGAACCAAGTACTTCAAAGCTGGCAGGATGGGGTAGTCACTGCTCAAAACACAAAGGGTGAAAGCCAGTCCCTTTGCTTCAAGTCAAAATGGTTGTTTGAAAGAGTTCTCATCAGAAAATGGAGGGGGGCGGACCTTAAATAAGCAGTCGTAAAATACAGATATTTGCATGTTGGTCATAAGAAAAGAGGTTCTTCTGAGGGCCAGGGACAGTCTGCCATGCGATCCCAACTTTAGCTGAAACGAGAAGGTTTCGGGTTACAAAGGCAGATGCTCTTTTGTCTCTGGTTCTTCCGTATATTTTGGGTGATCCAAATGGTCCAGTCCCATTTCCGAAATGGAACCAATCCATGAGACAACGCTGGGCGTTGCAGTGTCAAGCTGGACCTGGGGAGAGGCCCTGGGAGTCTCTCTGCACCAACACACTGTTTGGATCCAAGTGAGATTATCTCCAGAAATCTAATGGATAAATCAGCTATAGACAGAGCTTGGAAACTTGTTTCTAGAAAGTAATTGGTTACATTTAGAGACGGGAGTATTTGTATTCATATATGAATATGAGCATCCCCGCACAGGTGGTGTTAATGAGGGTCCAGCCCCATGGGACCGGACGGTCCACTCACCAATCCGCCGTGGATGCGGACTGCGCAATTCTACCAATGGCTTCGCAGTGCGCGATCCGCTCACCACTCTTCGAGCTTGCAGCGAGGTTTGTCCTCCCGCCTCCTGCCAGGAACGGTGAGCGGATCGCGCACTGCGGAGCCACTGGTAGACTCGTGCCGTCCACGTCGGATCAGTGAGTGGACCCTTGTTAACGCCACCTGTGCAGGGATATTCGTATACAAATACTAACACCCCCATCTCTAGTTACATTCCATTCTAGAAAGTAATTCTAGAGACTTATACAGCAGTAGAACTGTTCAGTGGGAGAGGATCCCAGAGGCCATCTATTCTGACCCCCCCAACTATGTAGGAAATCCATAGATCGATTATGTATTGGGAGATGGCCAGTCAATAAGTCTGTTCTGTTACCAGACACCGATTAATATCAGGAACTTTTCCCCAACATTCCGTCAGAAACGCAGCATGCTTTGTGGATCCCTGTGGATCTTGGGATAACCCTCCCCCTCCGCTTCAGTGTGCCTGCTAGGATGACACTGAAGCGCCCAAACTAGGAAGGGCACCTACCAAGTTCTGCCTGGAAGCAGTGGTAAGTCTCTGGATTGCGAATAGCAAAAGCGATGTAGACCTCTGGCGCCTTTCCCCCATCGTTGCCCATGGAAAGTTTTTGTAGCACTCCAATGAGGGACCGTATTAACTCTGGATCATAAACCACATCTGATTAGGAAGTGCATCCAAGGGAGAAAAAGACAAGGGAGCAAAAAGACAGAGAACAACAGAAGAAGAATTTAATATGGCAACATCTGGTAAAAAGCAACTAGATAAGAGTGAACCATTATGGAACAATTCAAAATTGTTTCCACTGTGAAAACAAAAGATTTTTATGGATTCTGGAAATGATAATGTTGTTTAGATGGTGGCTCCAAGTATTTAAGATTTGCTCAAGCTGTGTTTAATGTGAATACTTCTGCTGAACAAACCAAGAACTACTGGTTCATCATCTCCGGAAATAAAGCTGCCACTGAGAGCCTTCTGAATTTTAAAGGGATTGCATGTTCCTTGCAATTAACACATTTCGCTTCCGCAAGAGGATTCCCTCAGGGACGTGTGCCTCGGCACTCAAGAGTTGCTAATTAAGCTCGTGTTTATCTCACAGCGACCAATCAGAAAGGAAATGCACTCAGTGCAAGCTGATGGGGATGTGAATGGTGATGACAGTGCCCGTTCATCCCTTGAGTAAGCACTGCTTCTAAATACGTGCTAAGTACATTGTCTAGTTTCACCTTGGAGAAACCAGCTTGGAAAACCCCAAAAGTTTCAAAGAAGTACTGCAACAGCTGGGGAGAAGAGAGAAGTCTGGTGGATTGTAACGCCACTGAGCATATAAACAATGAGGGGTTTTAAAAACAGAAGTTAGGCATTCAGGTTGAAGTTCCAAAACTTTTTGATAATTGGGTATGATCATTAGGTGTCCCCCATCTCCCCCGCCTTGGGATTCCCTGTTCTTTCTTTCAGTGTGCCTATTTCCAGTGTGATACCTTCTCCCAAAGACACTGCACGGTTCCGAGATACCTCTTTTCTCATGAAAAGTACTGAAAAACCTGGGGAGGAGAGTCATCCATTAGGATGGACAGATTTATTTTAGCTTAAGTTTTCAGGATCAGAACCCAGTTCTTCAGAAATTCTGGCTTGCTCTCAAATAAGCAACTGAGAGCCATTCATGCTGCAAAAGACCTGCTCTTGGTAGCAATGAAAGCTGCTAAAACTAGTCCAGGAACAACACATCTCTAAGCATTTTTGGACCATCCTTGGCAGCACAAGGCAAGTCACAGGACTTCAAAGGTGGCCAGAATGCCCCGGGGTGTCAGTACCTGCAGCGATGACCACATCAGCACCCAGTTCGGCCAGCCGTTCTTTTTTCACCTGGTCCCAGTCGATTTCTGCTACGGTTATGTTGGGACCGCCTGGCTCTTGGCCTGTGCTTTTCTCTGGGCTGCAAATGCAAGCTTCAGTCTCTGGAAAAAAGCCGTTCAGACGGATGTTCTCCGAGAGCTGCTGCAGGACACAAGGGTGGTGGTCGCTGAAGGTATACGTCTTGGGACCGCATGTTTTGCACACCACGATTCCCGTCAGCCCGATTCCGCTGCCCAGTTCCAAGATGTTCCTAAACACACACGCACACAAACACACACACACCAGTGTAGTTTCCTTTTAAAAAGTAACACACAGGCAAACAATGTCTGTCCTTCAACCTCATTTCTGTCCGTGTTGGCTTCGTCGGGCCCAAAATCCAGCCTAAATCTCATTTTAGAAAGGAATGCATGAAACTCAAAGCTCAAGGGACTATCTAACTCTCTTCTCATGAGCCGCGGTTCATCAAGCGTTTCGGAAAAATCTTGGAGAGCAAGGCTTTCCTTCATTCATGCCAAAACAACTAAAAGGAGTTCCAGATCAGATCAATCTTGAACGGTCACTAGAAGCTAGAAATGAGTCAGTTGACGTTATCCTATTGTGGAAAGGACAATAATGCTTGGAAAAGTGGAAGGCGGCAGGAAAAAGGAGAAGACCTCACACAAGATGGAGTGACTCTTTAAAGGAAGCCACAGGCTTGAGTTTGCAAGACCAGAGCAGGGCAGTCAATGGCAGGTGGGAGTCACTGATTCATAGGGTTACCATCTAACGGAAGTGATCTGATGGCATATAAATGTTGTTCTGCCCCTGGGCTTCCCTTACAATCTGTGTCTCAGGAACACTTTCCAGGCCGTTACGGAGATCCTGGGAGTCAAAACACGTCAGACTCGGGGGAAACTTTTGGAAAGTTACTTTCCTGGCGTGCACCTCCATGCATGCAGGGTGCCTGGGGGACTCTCGGCTCCCATAAGAAGCCTTTCCACGCTTTCTTCCCACCATGCCTTCAAGCCCTGCTGGTGGCCAACCACACCACAACCCGCTGACCTGTTACAGAAGATGGATGGATTCTGCAAAGCCCACTCGGCCAGATAAAGGCCAGCATCCCATGTGACGAGGCCTGTGGTTCCTTGCGAAATAATGGCCACGTTTTCGCGGAGCGTAACGGCATCTCCCGAGGGCTGCGACACAGTGCCAGCAAAAAAAGAAAGAAAGAAAAAGAAGAGGAACACAATGAGCATTTGTGTCTTGCAGACTCCAGCTGTCTCCCTCTAAGATGCTACACCTGGTCCCCAATGGCAGACGTGAAACTTTTGTGACTTTAAACATATAATTTTGGAACCACCCACAAGAACTTGATGCACAGCTGTAGGAAGATGAATGGTCATTGAAAGCTGACTTTATTATTTTTTGTTGTTTTATTTTCTTTATGATCCAATAAAGGGGGGTCACCTGTTCCTGCATTTTTATTGTTTTGAGGACTGTACAGCCTTGTCCTGATTTTTTTAAAATGAAAACTTGATTACAGAAAGGGCAGTTCATGTTACTCCTCAGGGCTGGCCCAAGAATTTTTCTTGCTTTGTGGAAAGATGGCCTTCATCGCATTCCAAAGCCAACTGGACAGGCCCTTGATTCAAACACCTGGAATTGGACAGTGTCCAGCACCTCATCTGAAGACAGTAGGGCTAGCTAAGAAGAAGCAAGGAAGGATGCCTGGCGCCCATCTTTCTTTCTGGGCAGGAGGAGAGTTTGGTTTTTAGCCCCTTGGACAGCTCCTCAGAAGTTCAGAGTTCAGGCTAAAACCTCCAGCGGATGAACGGCCTCCACAAAACTAGAGCCAATGGCTTCCGTTTTCCACAGCCCTTGGACCCGATTCGAAACTTTTTTTCCTGGGGACAAACCTTGTTTTTAATAGGGACTCAGACTTGGGACTTAGTCCCAAAGACTCAGACGCGGGGCGGCTCGGAACCAAAGATCCTCGGTACCAACAACTCAGACTGGGCTCACAGGCTTGCCAGCATCCCTGTGAGCAGCCATCATTAAAATAAATACAGAAATGTAATTTAACCCTTTAAAAAGGGTTGTTACATGGCGGGGGATTGGGGGTTAGCTGAGGGGAAGACACGACTCGGGCCCCCCAGCAAGCTGCATGCACCCCACGGTCAAACCATTGCTTCCCCCCCAATGCAAAACCACTAAGATGTTCATCTTTACCAGTAAATAGCTCTTATAACAGTGTGCCGTCTCTTCTGCGGTCAAGACCTCCCCAAGGGCTTCATATAATGGATCGAGGGATTCAGCACCTGTAGATTCATGCTGCATTGAAGAAACAGGAATTGAAAAAGAGAGAGAGCGCCATTTTACGGCCTCTGACCATTAAGCAGCATCGAACAAGGATCACAAGTTCATAGTCTGATGGGTAATTTTTCTCTCTCTCTGTTCTAATCTGGGAGAGGCAATTTCGGGGCCAGACGTTAACTAACCATTTGGACATTTTCCCACTAAGCATACAAAGCAGACCTCCCTTCTAAGTATGCCTACCCCTAAGGAAGCCCCAGGCAACAGATTCTCAGGCTGAAAAGTAGATATCTGCTCCCCACCACAGCCTACAGCCTCTTTTATCTTCCATGGTTGGTCCAGAGATCCTCTATATTCAGGCCAACTTTCAACAGTTCCCAGAAATGAATAATCTACTGAGTCATAACTATTAATGGTTTTAAATACAAATGCAATAATACCCTTTATTGTGTTACTTTTTTAAAAAAGGGGGCATACAAATTAGGGTATGCATCTACTAGACTAAGCAGTGGGGGCATAGAAGAAAAATATAAAATACTCCACAAAGCATCATCAGAACAAAATATTTGTTGAAATGCAAGTAGGTATAGGCTAGATGGAACACCTTTACGGGAACTGCATTGTTGTTTGTGGTTACCTTTCTCATGTGGCTGTGCACCCTATTTGGGACAGCATACTGAAAAAGGAGAGTGGTTCATAAGATAGCTGGCACCTTGGAATTTAGGGCTTCGAAGTTTAAAGATCTTACCTTGAATTGAGTCGAGAAGCAAATCAGAAACTTGTATAGGGTAAAAATAACCCAATCTGATCAAGTGGCTTCAGTCAACACTAACGCAGCACAACCTGCAAACAGCTCAGGCCTCTAGACTATCTTCAAGGGCAGCCCCATAAGAAGCACATTACAGTAGTCTAATCTGAAGGGGAGTACAGCCAACGGGATGTTGGCCTGCGTAAAGCAAAGGTTACCTTTTTAATGAGTTCTAATAAGAAGCATTTTCTGTACTTGACGGAGGGAGGGTACTTCACGCACAGCGGGTGAAAAACAGTCTGAAACAACCAATAAACAGGGTGCAACGTGTCACAACAGCTTGCGTATCAACAAGAGGTCAGCCTTGCAGAACTGCATCCAGATAACAACAAGAAAACAAAATAAGACACAAGGCAAAGGAACATGTCACACATTTTCAAGTATGCATTTATGTATACGGAGAAAAAAGGGGTTTAAATTCTCTCTCTTTAGAAATAAAACAAGCTTTATCGCCATTCCACAGAAGTTTTTAGATCAAGGTTTTTCAGCCAAGACTCGCCTCCACCATTCATTTGTTCCCGTTTATTTTGCCTTGAACTGTTACGATCTGTTGTTTTCATTTCTAATTACATGACCGAAGTATTCTAGCTTTCTGCCTTTTGAATCTTTTAATTATTTCTTCATCTTTACTGATTTGCGACAGGGGCCTTTTTTTCCAGCCACCCTCTCGAGCTACAACTATACAGTTGAAATCCATCTTGGTGTTAAGCTACGCCACCTAAAGCTGATGACAGAACAATTCAGGTGGGACAATTAAACATTTCCTGCTTCTGTCCCAAGGTACCCAGGGATCCTATATAGCATTTTAACTGTCCAGAACCTGTGGGACAAGAGGAGGAAGTCTTTAATTGCCTAAAATCACTGCTGTTGGTAAAGTCATCTCAGTGGCAATGATTCTTACCGAGAAAACTGAAGATGGGGGCAGTGGCTGACTTTTTTTGCAACATCTCTGTGCTGAAGATCAGTTCATCTTTCCCTGAATGCAAAACTCTGTCAAGTGTGGCAACATAGGACTGGATTGCACTATAATTCTGTTATGCTTGCCAAGAGCACATTTCCGCATTATTAAGCCAGTGGCGTTTTCTGATTGGCATAAAATTCAACCCTAAACAATCCACTTACTTCCTGCAGAATGGTCAGAACTGGGGAGGAATCCCCTGAAGTCCTAAGTATCTTTTCAAGATCCTAGAAAACAAGATACAAACATGATTTTTATGGGTGGGAGAAAGCATTATAATACAAAGATGTGGGTTCAAATAACAGTCCACAGCTGTAACAATAGTCAGATGATTTAGGCTGCAGGTGGTTACTGAGCACCAACTCCCATTTGCCCCAGCCGGCATGGTGAGGGAACAACGATGTGGGGTGCTGACAATCATAGTTACAACATTTGGAAGGCCGTTAGTTCATCATTCCTGTATGCTTGAGTCACAACCTGGGGTCGTGAGCAAACGTTTGGCCGCAGTACAGCAGTTTAACCACTGTGCCACGAGGCTATGCAATATGTCTGATCCTGCCCTTTCTTCCTTCACGACAACCCTGTGAAGTAGTTGAGACTGCGAAAAGGAATTGAGAGGAAAGCATCATTCTAGACATCAGCTAGCACATTTTTCCTTCTACCAACTGGATTTTCTTAGCAATGAGGCTTGCAAACGTTGGCTAAGTTTACCTTCTTGTGACCAGTCACAAAGCAAAGTATCGCTACATGCAAGATACAGAGGCGCGGAAAAGCACCTTCCCTGACAGACTGGCCTTTTTGACCACTAAAGGGAGCATCTCAAGCACACAAGCCAGCTGGACCTTTAGGTACTCTGTCCAAAATGAACCCAGACACATTTTGAGGCCCTTTGCCAACTTTGAAGATTCCATGAAATGTTCAAAATATTACCTGCCAAGCTTCCATTGATGCTCAGCCTGTGGGACATCCTGGACAAAGAACTAGTCTGGAACCAAAGAAATCAAGTTTCCAGTTCTCACTGAGCTATGATACTCTCCGGGTGATGTTGGCCCAGTTACTCTATCTCTTAACTCTGGCCTACCTCATAAGGCTGTCGTGAAGATGACGTGTGGGGAGGAAAAGGACTTTGCACAGTGCCCTGAGTTCATTGGAGGAAGGTAGGATAGTGATTAATTAATGTATCAGTGCAATTAATTAATTAATTAATGCATACATGCATTATTGGAGAGGAGATCTTTGCTTCTATTGCTAAAACAGTCTCTCTCTCTCTCTCTCTCTCCCTTCATTTTTATGCTGGCTTTCTCCCAGTGAAGGGACTCTTTCTGAATTCACGTTGACCCCAGTGTTCACCTCTGAGTTCATGCCTGGGTTAATTAAGGCCCCAAGTAGACTTCTTGATTTTGGATTAAGGCTAGCTTTTCCATTTTAAGCCTCTACTTCAGAAGTGGATTATCTAGGGTTATCTTGCAAACGGTGTTAGCTCTGGGAGAGACACCAGAAAAGGCTACAAACATTTCCAGGAAAGCCCCCCCCCCATGGAATTGAACTGGGGTACCCAAGCAAGCTGGGCTCCAACAGCCCACTGCTGGGCAAAACTCCAGTCCGCCCTCCCGGAGGGACTGCAGACCAACACTGTCTAAGCAAAACGCAAAAGGGGTGGTTGTTCCGATCCAGACCACAGGCAGTGCCGATCTCGGCATCATGGGGGAAGAACACAACCCATCAGCATCCATGCAGATACCCAGATCTGGTGGATACACATTCTCTTAGATTTGCAGTGGCGCCCAAGGTGTTCTTGGACTGCAATTCCCAGAAATCCCTGCCAGCACAGCTTGTGGTGAAGACTTCTGGGAGTTGTAGTCCAAGAACATCTGGGGACTTCAGGTTGGGAATCCACAAAGGGCCTTTTGGAGCAAATAGGTCGGTGGGATGGAGAAAGCCTGGGGGGAGGGGTCACTCATAGCCCATCCCGGTTTTACTGTTATGGGGAGCACCAGGGCTTAGTAATCAGGCCACCAGCTTTGCAGTTCAGTCTCTGGTGCCTCCTTCTAGAACTAGAAAAGATTCTCGCCTGAATCCCTGGGGCTATTTAGCATTTCTCGGCTTTTTCTTCGCCCGCCTTTCTACTTCCTCATCAGCCAGCCTCGACTCAAGCAAGCCTGAAGCCTTCTCCTTCAAGACAGGCGCGCGTTTTTCTCTACCCTATTGCGTTTCCGTAGCCCGGCGCGCAGGAACCGAACCCAGATCCAGCCCCTCGACCTCCCGTGGGTGGCCAGCAGCGCAAAGGAAGCGTCAGCATTCCCGGCCGGGCCGTTTCCTCGGGAAGGCACCAGGTTTTGGCAGAAGGGGTTCCTCCTCTCCAAAGCGCCTCCTCCTCGTCTCGCCCGGACCCTTTACGCGCACCTTTACGCGCGCCGGGGCGCTCCTTACCTGCCAGGGCAAAGCGCTCAGCCGCTGGCCGGCCAGGAAGCCCCGCTGGAAGCGGAGCGCCAGCCTCTCGCCCTCGGCCGGGCCACGTGGAGGAGGAAGAGGAGGCCGGATCGGCCCCCTCTCCATCGGCGGCGGCAGCTCCTCCTCCTCCTCCGGATGCTCCGCCGAGCCGCCGCCTCTCGCCAGCTGTTAAGCCTCGCCTCCTCCGGGCGCGTGGCTGGCTGGCTCGCCCTCGCTCCCTCTGTGCGCGCCCCCGCCCGCCCGCCTGCGCGCCCCCGCGGGTGGTTGGCTGGTTTTTGTCCACGAAGCCTTTTAGGGGCTCTAAGCGATGGCTGGATTCATTTCCCTTTTTTAGCCAGAAATGGATAATACACTAAACAAAACAGCTCTAATTCTATTGTGACCTGGAAATTGATTTTCCTCCTTCTACTGAAGACATGGGTGTGTGTGTGTGTAAGGAGTGGACTCCCAACTGGGTATGGGATGGGTAGGACTGAGGTTTGAGCCGAATGAAGATCAGAACTAAAACACGGCAGGAGAGTTTTGGGGTACCAATCCCAGCAGCCACGTTGGCTAGGGGATTATGGGAATCCATAACTCCCTGGAGTGAGTAGAAACTGGTGACCAGGATGCCAAGGGAAGAGTGAATGAATCCTGGCTTCTAGTCTGAACTTTTGGAAAGTGACCACAGGAGTTGCAGCTATTTGGGGCCAAGACTCCAGTGTCTTGGAGAGATCCCATAAGGCAAAGAGTAAAACCAGGAGGGGACCCTCAGACCCACGAAACTGGAGTCACTGTGTCTTTGTTAGTTGTAGAGATCTCCCCAGGCCTTAGGGTCTGAGAGGAAAGTCCTCTGAGGTCTTCTACAGCAGGGGTCCCCAACCTTGGGCCTCCAGATGTTCTTGGACGTCAACTCCCAGAAATCCTGGCCAGCAGAGGTGGTAGTGAAGGCTTCTGGGAGTTGTAGTCCAAGAACATCTGGAGCCCCAAGGTTAGGAGCCACTGCTCTACAGCTACTCTGTTTCCCCAAAAATAAGACCTAACCTGAAAATAAGCCCTAGTAGGATTTTTCAGGATGCTCGTAATATAAGCCTTACCCCCAAAATAAGCCCAGGTTAAGTGAAACATGCCCCTCCACCGTTGTGCAGCAACCAGAAGATGACATGACTGTATTTGAATAAATGTAGATGGTTGTACATGAAAAAAATAAAATAAAACATCCCCTGAAAATAAGCCCTAAAGTGTTTTTTTTGGAGCAAAAATTAATATAAGACTCTGTCTTATTTTTGGGGAAACACGGTAGTAAGGTTCATTGGACCAGGCTCTTTTGATTGACTCATTTCATTGTCTGCATTTTTCCATGTCATTACCATTCCAGTTAACCCTGACACTTTCAATGACATCTTTTATATCTGTTATAATTATTTCATGGTTTTGGTTTTTTGTTTGTTGCCTTTCGTCAGATTTTTGTGTTGTAAAAAAGTCGGGGATTTAAAAAAAAAAATGAAAAAGCTGTACAACTTTTTTCTCCAATAAAAGAAGCAAAATAAGAAGCGCAGGTTGAGAGAAAGGCACAGATTTAAAGAGTCCATTTGTGGTTTTTATTACATTCAAGCTTCTCTCCCCCACCCCACCCCACTGTGTGGTTTGCAAAGCAGATAGACATTATGTGACATGTTTCACAAGCAAATAGATTTTGTTTTTTAAATGTAAAAAAAAGAGGCACTCATAATTGCCGGTTGATTGAACTCATGAGAAAGTTTTATACAGATACATGTTGTTTACTAGAAGGTTTTCCTTCCGCCTAATAATGCTTGCATTGATATTTCATTCCGGAATAATCAACGGGCAAATGAAACATGACTAAATTATGACTGGGAATTGAGCCTGCCAGTGTTTTATTGACGTTTTGCAGGGAGAATGTGATTTGTGAAGATGTCGGTATTTTTGCAAGGAAGAGTAAATCCAGATTTCCTGTGAAGACCTCGACTGAAGGCAGCTACCTTTGATGAGACATCTCCGTGAGGAATTAAGGCTTGCCCAAAGGGACAAGGGCATGTTCTCTGGAGTTTGGGAAAATGACCAATTAATTTAGAAGTGCCCTTGTTGCTTGTGTAGGGTTGGTATTTTGAGGAGCAGGCAGAACAAGGGGTATCCCCGAACACTTGAACAATGCACATCGGAACGTCACCCCTTCACAAAACATGGTGGCCTAGGAGAAATGTTACCTCCAAAGGGAAGAGAAACACCAGGTCAGATCCAGAAATGATTTATGAAGGGCTCGGATGTCAAAGCCCCTTTCCGCTTCCTGTTCTATCCTTGGATGTAATATCCTGGCCTCTACGTGTCACTGTTGCTCCACTAGAGAGCTGCAAAGCGAAGGCACGGAGGTCAGCACTCACGGTTTGCAATGCTAGCCTTGCACGCCAAAACTGTTCCTTGTATGCTTTTGCAAAAATAAGTGTAACAAGGTCCTTTGGCTGCATGGGGTGGGGTGGGGGAAGGAGCCTATCCCAACCTTCCCCATAAAGAAAGAAAGAGAGAGAGAGAGAGAGGAAATGGGCATATGCTAATTTATAGAGGGCCGCCCATAAGAGGAATATTGACTCCAATTAAAATGACGTTATGATGTGCTTCGGCATCCTGAGGCACAGGGCTGGCCCAAGAAAGTTTTCTGGCCAGGTCTGAGCAGTGAATGGGACCTCCATCCACATTTCTCCAAACCAAAAGGCACGAGGCTTAAAGCCAGCCACACTGTTC